ATGGTTTTACAAGTTCCCACCGGGGTCAGTTCCTGGGGGGCCGCTCTGAGGCCCAGGCACCTCCTCCCCCAGACAAACATGACTCCGGGCATGAGTTTCCAGGGGAGGTTCGCTGGGTGTTTGTCTTGGCCGCGGCAGGCCCTCCGAGCCCGGGGAGCAACGGCCTGTCCCCCCGTGCTGCGCGCTTAGGGAACAGCTGAGAACCACGGCTCGGGGAGCGGCTGGAACCCCCTCTCCACCTCCCTGATGAACAAAGTGGGTCGTTTTGTTTTGTTTTGTTTGTTGTTGTTTTAAATATATTTTTATTGATTTCAGAGATGAAGGGAGAGGGAGCAAGAGAGATAGAGACATCAATGATGAGAGAGAATCATTGACTGGCTGCCTCACCCCACACTGGGGACCGAGCGGAGCCTGCAACCCGGGCGTGTGATCTGACCGGAAATCAAACCCTGACCTTCTGGTTCATAGGTCGATGCTCAACCACTGAGCTACGCCAGCTGGGCTAGTGGGTCTTTTTGAAAGAAAAGGGGGCCACACTGAGATCAGGGGCGGGGAAACGGCAGGTAACGTAGGTGCCGCATTACTGGGATTCATGGCATCTGATGGCTGCGCACTCATCAGAAGGTGGTCGCCAGTGCTTCTCCCCCAACATCTAACAGGACCACAGCTGCTTGCCAGGACTGTGGCAGTCGCTGGGAATGAGGTACATTTGCGTGTTTTTTTAAGTTGTGCTCATCTCTAAGGAACTTGAGGATTTTGTAGCAAAATACATCCCCAGGTGAGGGTAGTTTACAAGTTCTCAGTTAATGATCTCCGCTCTCCCACTCAACATCTTGCAGAGTTTCCTGGTATTCATTAAACAGAATCATAATCAAGGGACTATTACGAGTTTTAAGTGGCCCATTGATTTAAAAATCACACACATACGAAACCAACAGAAAACTGCAGATGCCACTATCTTTCCCGTTAACCAACGGAAGTCAGTTCTAACGCCCAGAGCTCCCAGCCACAATATCAACAACAAAAGCAACAGCGTGGGGGGAATCTTATTTAAAATGCCCAAGAAACATACGTATGTCTCGGTGAGAGAACAGAGTTGCACACATTGAGAGAGAAAGTGTGTCTGGACAGGAAGATGGCGAAGAGTGAAGTGGTGTAAAATGGCAGTCCTCCCCACCCCAAAAGGAATGCAGGTGTTCTATTTGATCCCAGAGAGAATGTTAATGTTTTTTTACTCCTCTAACTTCAACACGCTAACACAAAGTCTACCTGGACGACAGACTGAAGGAATAAGAATCGCCCGTGACTGGGAATCGTGTAGGTGTTTGTCTAGAGTTTACAGCAGCATCATAGGAGGCACAAGCCGGGAAAACGGAAGCACTGAGAACCCATGAACAAATCTAGTGTACACAAGAAGTATTCATTTTATAGAGATGGCATCACAAATCAATGGATGGATATTTTTAATTGATTTCAGAGAGGAAGAGAGAGGGATAGAGAGATAGAAACATCAATGATGAGAGAGAATCATCGATCGGCTGCCTCCTGCTTGGCCCCCACCAGGAATCGAGCCTGCAACATGGGCATGTGCCCCGACTGGGACTCAAACCTTGACCTCCTAGTTCATAGGACGATGCTCAACTACTGAACCACACTGGCCAGGCATGATGGATATTTTTTAAGTAATAGTACTGGGGAAATTTCTTAACATTTTGGAAAAAATAATATTGGTTTCTTATCTCATACCACTAATAAATTTCCTATGAATTTAATAATAATACTAATATCTAGAAAATAACTCCATAAAATTAATAATAAATATCAAAAGTTTATGTCTTCTCCATGTCTACATGTCTATAAGCAGAACCCCCAAGGTCAAACTTCTCCCAAGTGAGTTCACTGCATCCCAGAACAAAGCTCGAGAGTATTTATAGACACACAAAAATACTCAGCACCAAACAAAGTCAATGCACGAAGCATGCAAAGAAACAGCGAAAAATCTGCCATGGAGAAAACCCAGCCAATCCTAACCAACCCAGAACTAATCGAATGTTAAAATCAGCAAACAGGACACAAAAGCAGTTCTAACCGTACAGCTGTGTTCCAGATGTTTAAGTGAAGGGGACCCCACTCAAGCATAGAGAGCTGAAAACTACAAGGTGCCACTACTAGACAAAACACACACCGGGTGTGACAACAGCAGACTGGGCTTTGCAGAACAAAAGACAGCGACTTTGAAAACAGCAATAAAAACTACACAAAATTCCAAAAAACTTTCTTAAAAATGACAAACTTCAAATACGCATCTATCAACAAGTGAATCTAAGAATCAAGTAATAAATAACCTGATAAACAGAATGAACTGGTGATTATAATAGAATCAGGGACATAGAAAAGGAATGGACTGACTATTCTTGGGGGGGAAAGGGGTGTGGGAGATTCGGGAAGAGACTGGACAAAAATCGTGCACCTATGGATGAGGACAGTGGGTGGGGAGTGAGGGAGGAGGGTGGGGTGGGAGCTGGGTGGAGGGGAGTTATGGGGGAAAAAAAGAGGAACAAATGTAATAATCTGAATAATGAAGATTTAATTTAAAAAAAAATGACAAACTTAGCAGCAAACTGTGGGACAACTTTGAACAACCTAATCTATAATAATAAAAGCGTAATAGGCTAATTAGACCCGAAAGCCCGGGCTGCGAGGGAAGCCCGGGTCCCGGGTGCCGGCAGCCGGGGGAAGGAAGGCCTACTCTTGCACGAATTTTGTGCATCAGGCCTCTAGTATGTGTATATTTGAGGACTTAAAGATGAGTAGAGAGGAGGACAACAGAAAAACTATTTTAGAGAAATAATGGATAAAAATTTTCTCAATTTGGCAAAACGTATAAACCCACAGACCCACGATACTTATCAAACCCAGAGCACAAGAAACATAAAAATAAAAAAATTACACCAAGTTACTTCATAGTAAAATTTCACAAACTAATAAGTGAGTTTATCAATGTTGCAAGATACAGGATACATGTGTGAAAAATGTTTATGTACCAGCAACAATCAACAATTAAAAATAATTTAAATAGTGTCAAAAATAAGAAATACTTAGAAAAAAAGTCGACAAAAGACATGAAAGGCTTCTATATTGCAAACCTATAAAATATCGATGAGAGACATTAAAGAAAACTTAAATTTTCACCCATCAAAAAGACCCAATATTGTTAAAATGTTAACTCTTGCTAAATGAATCTTCAGATGCGGCATACTCTCTATCAAAATCCCAGGCGGCTTTTCTGTAGAATCCCGCACGCAAATCCTAAAATTCCCGTGGAGGCCAGAGGGCCTAGAATCGGCCCCCGACGCGGAGAAAGAACGCACTTGAGAGCGGGCACGAACGGAGCTCAGGTGTCGGCCGCACGCGCGCGGCAAAATTCCTTTAAAAACGTGGGAAAGCTGAGCTAGTGTTTAAGCGCTATTAACAGAGATACGCGAAACAAAGCCAACCCCGCTCATCTGCTGCGTTTCGCTCTCCGCCTGAACACCGGTCGCCGTGAACGCGAAGGAGACACCTGAGGAGCTGCCAGAAAAACACCCGAAACCCAGCCGCTCTTTCTAGCCCAGCGGGCGGCACACTGCGGCTCGCGGGCCACATGCGGCTCTTTGGCCCCTTGAGTGTGGCTCTTCCTAAGCCTTAGGAGGACCCTAGTTAATAACAATGTACCTCCTTATATAGTTTAAAAAGTTGGCTCTCAAAAAAATTTCAATCGTTGTACTGTTGATGTTTGGCTCTGTGGACTAATGAGTTCGCCGACCACTGGTCTAGCCCAACACCGAGCTGGGCCGGCCGCCGCGGAGATGGGTCCAGGCAGGGCAGGGACAGCGCTTGTGAGGATGCCTGGCGGAGCCCTGCATGACACCCCTGCACACCCCTCCCTCGCTCCGCACGACATCCCTGCCCCTCCCTCGCTCCGCACGACATCCCTGCACACCCCTCCCTCGCTCCACATGACATCCCTGCACACCCCTCCCTCGCTCCACATGACATCCCTGCACACCCCTCCCTCGCTCCGCACGACACCCCTGCACACCCCTCCCTCGCTCCACATGACATCCCTGCACACCCCTCCCTCGCTCCGCACGACACCCCTGCACACCCCTCCCTCGCTCCACATGACATCCCTGCACACCCCTCCCTCGCTCCGCACGACATCCCTGCACACCCCTCCCTCGCTCCACATGACATCCCTGCACACCCCTCCCTCGCTCCGCACGACATCCCTGCACACCCCTCCCTCGCTCCGCACGACATCCCTGCACACCCCTCCCTCGTTCTGATGACATCCCTGCATGCCCCTCCCTCGCTCTGATGACATCCTTGAACACCCCTCCCTCGTTCTGATGACATCCCTGCACGCCCCTCCCTCGCTCTGATGACATCCCTGCAAACCCCTCCCTCACCCCGCACGACATCCCTGAACACCCCTCCCTCGCGCCTCCGTCACCATGTCAGACGGCGGTGGAGCAGAGCTGAGGAGCCAAGGCGCTAGCCCATCCGGGCCTGACCCCAGCCGCTGGGACAGGGAGCTGGAGGGGGAAGTGGAGGCCTTTGGCCGGGAGAGGAACAAGGACTGACCCCTGAAAGGCAGGAGCTGCTGACCCTCCCGTGGCTGGAGGGGCTGTCCGTAAGGCCCGGGGAAAGGGGGCGCCACCTGCCCCTCCCTCAACACGCATGGAACTCACCCTTAGGGATGGTCCTGCACGCACACAGGGAGGCGAGCCAGTGGCGAGCCGGAGCCCAAGGGGGAGCTACACTCACACTGAGGTCTGCAGGGCCTGGGGAACGGACCTGGGTTCTCGGGGAGCAGCCCCAGGCCTGCGCCACCCAGCCAACCACCAGAGAAGCGGGGAGCCCAGGAGAGCGGACTTTCTAAGCACTGTGCAAACTCACGGCCGCGTACCTTTACATTTAAATTAGTGAAAAATAAACTGAATTGAAAATGCACTCACCACTTTCAGAGCCCATCGCCATGTCCGCTGCCATGTCGTGGGCAGTGCTCACGCAGACCTGCTGATCCCTGAGAAAGTTCCATGGGTCCGGCCCTGGGCCCGTAGCTGCCAGCTCAGGAGGAGGGAGGGGCAGAGGAGACCGGCCGCTCCGTTCCACTGCATGCGGGTGCCCTCGGCGACATCTGACCAGCTGGTCCCCAAGCCGAGACACATCGTCACGATGGCCATGCAGGGAGAGGTCCAGAGGACCAGAGACGAGCGGTCGGGGCCGTGTCCTCACTCTACATCCACGGAATCCCACTCTCGGTCCTGCTGGTGACGCCCCAGGAAACACGCCATTTGCGCACGTGTTTCCATCCTGAATCTCAGTCCACCATGAAGCTTTTCTACCCACTGTTTGGTTTCCGCACTGCGCCTTGCCCGGGAGTTGTATGTGGAATGGACACGCTGCGTGGTGTGGGGCAGCGAGCGGCAGGGGGGCTCCGCGGGGCGTCTGGGACGTGGCCCTGAATGGGTCACCGGGCCGCCTGGGATTCGGTTCCTTCAACTGAAAACTAGAGCAGCCGGACCACCGTCGGGCGCCCGGGACGGTCTGAGCTACCAGGGGTCTGGAAGCCACGCCTGGGCGGACGGCGGGCTGACCCTCGGGAGGAAACGAGTGAGCTCCCACTCACCTCCCAGCTGCACGGAAACCACAGTTGAGAAGTGAGAGCAAACGAGGCCCCAGGCTGCGCTGTCACCGACTCTTAACCACGGCCGGGGGGATGGGACGGGACCGGTAGGCCACTTCTGCGGCCTCCCTGCGATGCTGCCGTGGCCACCGCAGACGCCGCTCTGCACACGGCAGGGGACCAGGCGGTGGGCCTTGCTCCAGGAGCATCGAGCATTGAGCATCCTCAGGGCAGGGTCGGGATTGGGGGGAAGGAGATGGTGCTGGGACCGGGCAGCACCCCCTGATCCTTCCACTGACAGGGGACATTCCTGGGCCCTGCACAAAGCCAGCCCCAAATTCATCATCCGGCGCTGATAACATCGGCAGCGTGGACACGGCTCCTCGCCCGCGGGCAGGGTGGGAGGGCAGCAGGCGGGGCTGAGCCCAGTGGCGTCAGCAGCATTCCCGGCCATCTCCCGGCTCCGGGTCACTGGGACAAAGGGCAGGGGATGCACCTGCTGTGGCCGCGGGCCGCCTGCCAGGAGGACCGGCTGGGACAGACGCTGCGGGCGGGGCCCGTCGGACCTTCGTCACCGGCACACTGACACGGATTGGGGCGGAGATTGAATGTCGCCGGCGTCCGCTGGCTCCGGGGGTCTGTTCCAAACACCGGCCGCGGGACCAATGGCAGCAGCGCGGCCGTGACAGAATCCACGCCGGGCGCCCAGCGACCCTGCGCAGCCCGGAAGGGAGCCGGCCTGCTCAGTCCCCGGGGAGAGACGTTCTGGAGTCGGGTTTCTCTCCCCTTTGCTGTCTCCGTCACTTCTCCGTCAACATGGCGAGCGAGAGGCGAGGGACGGGAGCGCAGGTGTCAGCACGGGAACCATCTGGGGTTCTCTAGGTGGCTGCACGGCTGAGCAGGAGGAAGGACCCAGGAAACCGGAGGTTCTCGTGAAGTGAACTTCAGCTTTGCATACGTGACACCCGGTTATCACACGGACAGAAGCTGTGTGTGGATTTGCTCGCTGCTTGGCAAGCACAGGGTCACTCCGTCGCCAGCGCCATGGAAAGCGATCAGTTGTGCAGAAGTCCTCGGGGACTGGCTCAGGCACCGTCACTAGTACAGGGAGAACAGACTTTCTCAGAGGAAAGTGTGAGCTGGGGAGGAACCACATGGCGACTCGGAATTGGCTCAGCGAGTGTTGCTGGAATTTCATAAAAATCTTGTTCCTAAGTTCATTGGAGACGGCTCAGTACACGCTGCCAAGTCTGGGCTCTCTACAGAAGCCACATGATCTGAGAGTCTGCTCCGAGGCCCTGGTGCAGACAGAGCTGCGTGGCATCTCCAGGAGGTCCTGGTAGAGTTTCCGTGCGAAGAGCCGGGAAGAGGCAGCAGCCGACGGAAGTGCTGACCAGGCTCTGCTCCAACCACTGCGGCTTCCGAGCCATCGCTCCCGCTCTGGGCCTGAGGTCCTCGTCTCTGAGATAGAGCTCTTACACAGGCACCTCTCATCCGGGTACAGGCAGCCACGTCTGCCACACGTGTCATGGCCCGGGGGGCAGGGCGTGTCTGGCATCGAGCGGGTCCAGACCAGGATGCTGCTGAGTTGAGAAACCTGGTTTCTACTCGATTGGGCTCCGTTTCCCACAAGGTGGCATCCAGCCCAGGGACCCTCCAGGTCTGCAGGTACCATTCCAGCATCTCTCTTCCATTCCAGATCCCTTATTTGCAAACGGTTCCAAATTATTTATCTTCCGTATGAATATAATTCTTACATATTACCCAAAATATGTGGGCAGTAAGCACTTTTTAATGTTTAGAGCAACCACAACAGAATGAAGCTTCCCAGGTCTTTGGCGACAGTGTCTTCGTGACTGTTTACTGTGCGACTGGCGTTGCCTCGAAGTCTCCCCGAGGGGAACACGTGCCCGGCAGGAGGCCTCCTTCACAGCGTGGGGGGATGTTCGCTGAATAAGTGCCTCATCCAATAATCTCTTTGGTGCTGATGGAACACGGAGCGTGTGAGAGTCCTAGACGGCGGGAACCGGGTGGGCCAGGCTGCCGTGGATGGCTGAGGTGGAGGGGCCTACACACAGATTTTACAGATGAAGCAACAACTGTTCTCCCCACAAAATGACCTTCCCCCTTCAGCGTTTCCAGTAGAGGCTTTGTTTAGGAAACCCGCCTTCTCCTCGAGGAGCCCACCCTCCCTGAGCTGGGTTGGGAGCCTCTCCCTGGTGCTTCTCTGGGACCCGGGGACACTCTGATTTCCACCAGAAGTCACACGCCTGTCCTAGGCTTCTTTCTCCCTGAGACTGTCTCCCGCAGGAAAGCTAAGGGGTTCTGGAGGAATTCGTGTCGGTGATGCACTTGGTGGTTTTTTCAGTGAGTGAGGGTGGTGATCCACAAAAAGGAGGAGGAGGTGGGCCACTGCTGACCCAGAAACCACATCCCCACCACACATACCAGCTGGGCTGCACCCACTGATGTGGACAGTGAAGGAGAAAGACGGAGGGCAGACAGCAGGGCCGCGCAGGCCGGACAGTGCGAAGAGCGCAGTAGAGGTGGCTGGGAGTCCCCTGACCTATACATCCCCTGTCCGTCTAGGGCCACTTGGCCAGCCCCAGGCTCTCTCTCTGCCTCTTTCATCCAGAAAGAAATGGCAGGAGGCAGGCCTGGAGCCAGCCAGGAAGGAGGGGTTGGCACCCCTTTTCTGGGCTCCGTCACCAGAAACGGACTGTGAGGCCGAGGGGCCAGAGACTCTGGGCAGCCAGTCAGATGGGGTGCGCCTTCCTGCACCGGAGGGAGGCGGGACACACGCCACCCCATCGGGCAGCGGCACCAGTTTCCTAGGGCTGACAAAACGGAGGGCCACAGCCAGGTCCCTCAGCAGAGCATCCAGGCAGACTGCAAGGCAAGGGCGAGTGGGGGGAGGGGGGACAAGAGGCAGAAAGCGGGGTGAAGGCCGTCTGTGAGTGACCACAGCAGCCTCGCAGGGTGTCCATTCCCCACTCTCCAATCTGAGTGCTGTCGCCAATTTACAAAAGACGGTGGGCACACGCCCAGGTGACACGGATGCGCCAGGGCAAGGCTGGACCACAGTCTGGCCATGCCCTCCCCCAGCCGGCCTGGCCTGCTGCCATCACCCCCGCGAGCCGCCCGGAGAACCCAGGACCTGCATCCCGTGAGGCAGCGCATTCAGCGATCCCTGTCCCGGGCAGACTCACCTGAGCGCAGCCCGAGGCTCTCGGCGCCTTCTTGCGGTCAGGGACCCGCTGCCAGCATCGTCCTGCCGACGGCTCCCTGCTCTGCCCTGCGCTCTGGCGCCCGCTCGTCCCTGGGCAGGCGGCACAGTCACCGCCCGCACTGCCCCCTGTCCTCCGGGCGGGGCTGAGGAAGGCAGTGCGGGCACAGGTGGCCTTGCTGGGCGCAGCCAGGAGACAGCGTCGGGGACAGGATTTCCTTACGTTACAAGGAAACTTGGTAAAAGGCTGAGAATACCGCCGCCATTCATTACTGTGAGCTCATCCGGTCACGTGGGTCGGAGGATGGCGCAGCCTGGGCGGGAGCAGCCCGTGCTCACACCCTGAGCGAGCGCGCCCCACACCGCAGCGTGAGCAACGCACAAGAGGCCGATTCAAGCCCGGCCGGTGCCGCTCCGTGGCTGAGCATCGACCCATGAACCAGGAGGTCAGGGTTCAATTCCCAGTCAGGGGTCAGGGCACATGCCCGGGTTGCAGGCTCCATCCCCAGTAGGGGGCGTGCAGGAGGCACCCGATCCATGATTCTCTCCCATCACCAATGTCTCTCTCTCTCTCTTTCCCTCTCCCTCCCTCTCTGAAACCAATAAAAATATATTTTAAAACAGAGAGAGACCGGATTCAATGGTAAGTCAGCTCCATCCAACCCCCCGGGCCCCCCCTCCCCTCGCACCCCACTCACTCCCCTCTGTGCTCACTCCTGCGTGGCTTCGCTGCAGGCCCAGCCTGTCCGGGGAGGGGGAGGGTTCACGCAGCCCCTGTGGCCTTTGCTCCTGTGTGCGTCTGTGGGTGGAAATGGTGTAGAATGACAGCAAACCCGGCCTGTACAGGATCTGTGGGCTCGCCTTCGTCTTACCTGATCGTTTTCGTAGGTAACTCACAGGGATTTCAACATCCTTTCTGCTTGGCCCGAGTCTCCTTACTCTTCCTGCCTCTCACCTGCACCCTCTTGCTCGGGGCACGGAGACCTGGTCTTGAAATGGAGTCACATCAGGGCGCAGGTGCATAAGGGCTCCTGGTGAGCGGCCGCCAGGACCACCCTGGGTCCCGGGGAGCACAGGCAGGTTTAGGGCCTTGGTCACTGTTTAACTCGCCCACCCCTCAAGTTCCGACTCATCCTCCACCGGCTGCTGACACTGAGGAAGCCCCGATGGCTCTGACCCTCAGTGTCCTCGTCTGTGAAATGGGAGCACTCGCACCCACCCCGCAGGATGCTCTGTGGGTCAGGGGAGGGGGACTCACACCCACCCCGCAGGATGCTCTACGGGTCAGGGGCACTCACACCCACCCTGCAATATGCTCTGTGGGTCAGGACCACTCACACCCACCCCGTGGGATGCTCTACGGGTCAGGGGAGGGGGACTCGCACCCACCCCGCGGGATGCTTTAAGGGTCAGGGAGACTCACACCCACCCCGGGGGATGCTCTGTGGGTCAGGACCACTCACACCCAACCCGCGGAACGCTCTGTGGGTCAAGGGGACTCGCACCCACCCCGCGGGATGCTCTGTGGGTCAAGGGGACTCGCACCCACCCCGCGGGATGCTCTGTGGGTCAAGGGGACTCGCACCCACCCCGCGGGATGCTCTGTGGGTCAAGGGGACTCGCACCCACCCCGCGGGATGCTCTGTGGGTCAAGGGGACTCGCACCCACCCCGCGGGATGCTCTGTGGGTCAAGGGGACTCGCACCCACCCCGCGGGATGCTCTGTGGGTCAAGGGGACTCGCACCCACCCCGCGGGATGCTCTGCGGGTCAGGACCACTCACACCCACCCCGTGGGATGCTCTGCGGGTCAGGACCACTCACACCCACCCCGTGGGATGCTCTGCGGGTCAGGACCACTCACACCCACCCCGTGGGATGCTCTGCGGGTCAGGGGGACGCAGCTCCGCCAAGGCTGCCTGAGGCCAGCACCGCTGCTCAGCAGGTGTGAGCGTCCTGCTCCCTCTCCTCCCAGCGCGCTGTCTGCCATGGGCTGGGACACTGCTCTCCTCCTCTGGGTTTGTCCGGTGGCGCTTAGGGTCGGAGAAGAGGCTGCCGGTGGAGGCCACGGTGCTAAGACCAAAGCCATAGACGGCCGTGTTGACTCTCAGGAGAAACCACAGGCCACCTCAGTCTCGCCACGTCAGCACGGCCACGCGACTAAGTCTCCGCCGTGTGACAGGTGTCCCCTCAGGGAGAAGGCCCTGGGTCGAGGAGACTGGGTTTCCGTTCATTAGACGTGTCGGCTGCAGAGCTGGAGGATGCCGGGTGGGGCGGCTGTGAGTTGAGGATCTGGTTGAGGGATCACACATTCTCAGAGGTTGGGCTGGGTGACATCTGGTCCTGCTGATGGTCCCCAGCTGGGGACAGCGTCCCTGCTGCCCCGAGGGCTGGGCCTCGCCGCAGAGTGCCGACAGCGGCTTTCATCGCAGTGTCAGGTCTCACGGAGCGCCGGCATCCTTGGAGATAGTGTGAGACAAGGATAATTTGCGGCTAACCAGAGACTGACCAGAACATTTAAAAGAAAAGAGAAATGAGATGCCCACAGGGGTTATTGGAAAACTCTCTTATTCCCGGGACTCTTGACAGAACAGGCTTCTGGGGGGCTTTCGGGGGCTGCATTCCCGGTGCCTCTGGCCGGTCACTTCCCCAGCACCCAGCCTGTGTCTGTTGGCAGGAAGAAACCCCTGCCCACGTCACACCCCGGGGTTCCCAGCCAGTGTGCCTCCCCCCACACACTTCCCTGTCCAGTCATCCTATGGTTACTTCATATACGGCTTCCAGGGTGCTGAGTCGGACCCAGTGGGAAGAATAAGGAAAAGTACATCTATTCCAAGCAGGAAGTGGAGGTTAAGGTATGCGTTTCTTGCTTGACATTGCCTCATCCTTTCACTGGTTGGGATTACTTATCTGCCTTTATTTTATTAAAAAAAATTTTCATTTTCATTGGAAAATTTTTCTGCATCTAGAGAGCTACTGAGCAAAGAACTGGAAAGCGTCTCCAAATTCAAGGCCACACCCATCTGTGCCGCACCCATCGGGCCACCATCCGGGCCTCTCTCCCCGCACAACCTTCCAATGGCTACAGAAATGAGCCACCGCTCCCCGAAACCAGCACTTTCAGTCTGTGATGCTGCGTCACCTCGGAAGCAGAGACACCTGCCTGGCTGCCCTCGGCCGTGGCAAAGGCCACACGGGGCCTGACGGGTCCTCACGGGCACCCTGTTTCTTGCTTTTATTATTATTTCTTTATTTTTGGTTAATCCTCACCCAAGGATATTTTTCCATTGATTTTTAGAAAGAGTGGAGGGGCAGGAGAGACACACAGAGAAACATCGGTGTGAGAGAGACACTCCAATTGGTTGCCTCCTGCATGCACCCCGACCAGGGATCCGGGAATCTACAACCAAGGTACATGCCCTTGACAGGAATCAAACCTGGGCCCTTCAGTCCGCAGGCCAAGATTCTATCCACTGAGCCAAACCGGTCAGGGCTGCTTCTTGGTCTTATAAGCTGGCGCGGCTCCGTGGTTGAGCATGGAACTATGAACCAGGAGGTCACAGTTCAATGCCCTGGTGCCAGGCTGGATCCCCAGTGGGGGGGCGTGCAGGAGGCAGCCAATCCATGATTCTCTCTCATCATTGATGTTTCTGTCTCTGTCTCCCTCTTCCTTCCCCTCTGAAATCAATAAAAACATATTTTCTTTAAAAAAAGTAGAACTGGAAAACCCAGACGAAAACCCAAACGAGCAGCCACAGTGCGGAACCAGGGAGCATGTGCTGTTTGTAGCACGAGCCCGGGGTAGGGTCTGCAAACCTCCTTCATGCAGACCAGGCTCTGCCCCCAGTCCAGGGCGCACATGGCACCAGGCGAGCCAGCCTGTGCATCCCCCAGCCCCGGGAGGAAGGGGGCCGAGCGGGCGCGATAGGAAAGTGTTCCTTCCCCGGACACTTAGGTTACTGGGGAAAGATTAACAGGCCAGCGGTGTGTGAGCGCTCAGATTTCTCGCCCGGGGACACAGAGCGAGGATTGTTTGTGGTGCTGGTAGGAGGCAGTGGCAAAGCGGTGTTGCAATCGACACATCTGGCTGAGGGCACGGCGGGGCAGCGGTCAGGGGAGCAGCGGGCCCAGCACCGGCGGAGGAGGCACGGCTGGAGGCCGGGCCGCGGGCAGGGCTGCTCCAGAGCGGCTCTCTCTGAAGTGAGCTCACGCTCACACTTGGACTTTTGGTCCGAGCTGTGCTGAGCCGGCCGCAGCCTGGCGGGGACATTCGCGGCCGCCAGGGAAGCACATCGGAGCCCTCCTGCCCGCAGCCACCATGCCCACGGTGGACGAGGTGCTCGCGCACGTCGGGGAATTCAACTTCTTCCAGAAGCAAACGTTCCTCCTCCTCGCTCTGCTCTCGGCCTCGTTCCCCCCCATCTACGTGGGCATCGTCTTCCTGGGCCTCACCCCTGAGCACCGCTGCCGGAGCCCGGGTGTGGCTCAGCTGAGCCGGCGCTGCGGCTGGAGCCCGGCCGAGGAGCTGAACCTCACGGTGCCCGGCCCGGGGCCCGCGGGCGAGGCCTTCCCCCGCCAGTGCCTCAGCTACGAGGTGGACTGGAACCGGAGCGGCCTGGACTGCGTGGACCCGCTGGCCGGCCTGGCCGCCAACAGGAGCCTCCTGCCGCTGGGCCCCTGCGGGCACGGCTGGGTGTACGACACGCCCGGCTCCTCCATCGTGACCGAGGTGAGTGAGGCAGGACTTAAACCGACAGCAAATGGTGCAATAAACTGATTGAAAATAGACCCAGAGCCACAGAAGCAGGAACAGACTGTTGAACCTCAGAGGGAAGGCAGGAGAGGGTGCATCTATGCATCACCCGTGGGCACAGACAATGGGGAGGTGAGGGCGGGGGTGGGGGGTGACGAGAGCGGGCTGGAAGAGGTTAATGGGGGGAAAGGAGGACCTATGTAATACTTTCAACAATAAAGGTTAAGAATTTTAAAAAATAGTGTAGCTTTTTTTATGGAAGAAGCCAGTAAGGCATGCTCTTTGGACTCAGGGTATCTTAGAAAATCCCGGTTTCTGAGAAAAACATGCAGCCTCTTATCTGTCTGGAGTGTGAATGGATTAGCTAAAACCCGGTCAGATTCGATCATGATTCTCACTTATGCAACTCCCAGCTGTAAGAAACAAGCAAACGCCAATGACAGTTCCCGGAAATAATGCCAGGGAAGGGAAAGATTCAAGCCTCCTCTCCCTCTGGCCGCCCTGCCTCCCCTCCACTCCCCCATCGCAGCGCGGAGGGTCCCTGCGGGCCCACCTGAGCGGTGCCCGTCGGACTCGCTGCGCTGCTCCTGCTGGCCAGCTGGGGTGGGAGCTGATGCGATGGTGCCCTTACGTTACTAAACACCAGAGGCAACATTAGCATCTAATGGCAATCTAATCTCATTTCAATAAATATAGAGAAACAAAAAAATAGAGATGTGCTCTTCCTAGAGGCAAAGCAAAATGGAGGAGGGGGGGAGGCAATTATCCCGAGAACACAGAGCACAGAGCATGCCGCTGCCTGGCGCCATGGGAAGACTGGGTGGCTCCTGTGGACAGACCTTCAGCGCGAGGGGCCTTGTTTAAGGACCTCAGATGGTCTCGCAGTTGCATGAAACGCTGAAGGTCACAGATTTAGCCCCCCACAGCGATGAGGCTTTATAGAGGGGCACACTCCTCCTTCCCGCAGAGATGAGGAAACAGGCCCAGGGAGCAGGGGAAAGTTTCGCCCACAGCCGCGGCGTGAGAGGATTAGCAGTCAGCCCTAAGCGGCATCGCCTGCCTTCCAGGCCAGCACCCGGCCCTCCTCCCACACTCCCTCCTGTTCCAGAGAGAGCAAGTGTCACAGCTCAGCAAGACGCCCCCAGTCAGTCCCCCAGACATTAGCAGGGGTGGGGAGTGTCCGGCCCGAGGGCCGTACAAGGCCCTGCCAAGGCATTAGGGGTGAGTTCTAATTAAATGTTTGACCAAATAGAGCAGGCTAGTTTTAAAGTTGATTTTAACTTTGTATGGCCTGCGAATGATGTTCTAAATATCTAAATGGGCCCTGGCTGGTTTGGCTCAGTGGATAGAGCGTCGGCCGTGGACTGAAGGGCTCCAGGTTCGATTCCAGTCAAGGGCACATGCCCGGGTTGTGGTCTTTATAAGTAAATAAATATCCAAATGGAAAGCCCCCGCACCTCCACCCCACCCCCCTTCTCCCGCCCCGACCCCGGCCCCGGCCTTAAAGAGACAACAACAAGATGAGGAACAACCCAACCTACTCCAGGCAGCTTTTGTGTCCTGTTCACACACCTATTTGTGCACTAAAATTAGAAAGGGAAATTGTTCTGTGCAGAAATGAAGTGACTACCCGGCTTCAGCTGATGTAGCCAGCAACGGAGTTTAGCCTAACGACCTACTGCCAGGCGGGACGCTAAACAGACTGCGGGACAAATCTTGTGGTCGTGTGGGGAAACTTAACAAATGGCAAGAAAACAGTGGGTTCCTGCCTCCCGGCCCGTCCGCCCCATGCCGGGGACACGAGGGGGTCCGCCCCATGCCGGGGACACGAGGGGAGCTCCCCAGGCCAAGGCGGGCCTGACCGTTTGTTTCCTTTCTCTCTGGACGCGGGACCCCTCTGGCCCTCGGCAGTTTAACCTGGTGTGTGCCAACTCCTGGATGCTGGACCTCGTTCAGGCAGCCGTGAACGTGGGATTCTTCGTCGGTTCCATGGGGATCGGCTACATAGCAGACAGGTGGGTGCCACGGGCTCCGGAAGCACTTGGGTTCAGCTGTCCCTGCTGGAAACCAGGCGTCTCACAGTCCACAGACTACAAATGCCTGCCTCGAAGCGCTGCCTGGGCCATCTCAGGTTTCCTCTGCGAGAGACAAGCCTGGCCCCTGGGTTACTCCCGTCCTCTGGGCCCTGGAGAGAGGGCTCTGTAGTTGGCAGTGGTTCTGCCCAGGGGCTATGCAGAAGCCTAGGGTGAGAGGGAGGGTAATGGATGGTTTGGCCCAAGTCCTTCTTCCTCACCATCCACCCGGGCGAGGGGAGGGGAAGAGAGGGAGGAAAGGTGTTAAGAGGCTAGTGCACCAGCAGCTCCATCCACCACACCCCTTCTGGGACTCTGTGCTCAGCTCCTCTCAGAGGCTGCTCCTGGGACGCTGTGGGAGCCCGTGAGGCAAAGAGGAAGGTCATCTGCTTTTATTTCATGGCCTCAGAGCTGAGGATGGCTGTTTGGAGGTGACCCCTTAAGTCAGGAGCGCCGCACTGAGGGGAGGGGCTGGTCCAGAGTCCCCTGGGCTCCTTCCAGCGCGTGGCCCTCCTGCTGGCCCCTGGCCCCCTCTCCCCCTCCCTCACTGGGTGGTGCAGACACTGACACTCTCCCGGACAGAAGGGAGCAGCTAGGTGGCTGCGCCTCGCGGCTGGTTAAGCGAGCGAGTTAATGATTCTCATCCCACTCAAGGCAGGAGACCGGTTCTAACTCTCCTGACACTGCACTCCTGGCTGATCATCCCCAGTCATCCACCTTCTGCGTGGCCTCATTACTGTTCGTACTTTCAATCCCGGGTAGAGCTGCTTACTCATGGCTCTCCCTCAGGATGCTGGTCCTTCCTTTGCACTGGATCTTCTTTTCTTTTTTCTTAAATTGTCTGAAGTTCTGTTGGCTTTGCCTCTTTTTCTGTTCTATTTGTGTGTGCAGGTAAGAGTGTGTGATAAGATAGCCACCCCCGGGCTCAAAAAAGGCAATTTATATTTTGCATACTTAATGCCTATTTCTGAACAATTTTCCGATTTATACAAGGATCTCATCGAAATCTCTTTTATGCTACAGAATAAACCAACATTAAATAGATTGTTTTCTGTGAGATTTTTTAAAAATATGACCTGACAGACAATTACAGCATCTTTTCAAAGAAAAGCAGGGATGGGGGAGGGGGAGACTATGAAAAAGTTGTAAGTAGGAATACTGAGTCTGACACCAAGTCACCTCGCTGGAGGTCAGCTTTGCAAATGGAAAGTGGGAAGGAAGGAAAAGGAGTGGGGGGAGGGAGGGCGGAAGGAAGGAAGGAAGGAAGGACCGATGCTAGGGAATTTGAAAATAAACTTTGCTAGATATCTAATTTATTTCATCACCCACGACCTCCTGAAGGGTGATTTTGAGGATCACCTGACCCCAAAAAGGAATCTCTCACCAAGTCCAGGTTCTTTGTTCTAACCATTAGTCATTCCAAGTGCTGCATCCGTGTTCGATCCGTGTTGGACACTGGCTCTGAGGAGAAGGCCCCGATCTGCAGCACTTGCTGATGCCCCTGGTGTGAACACTCACTCCCACATGGCCCACTGCAAGCTACCAAGCTGAGGCCACTGAGCGCAGGGTTGGCTGGAGACAGGTGCCGTCCTGTGTGCTCCCACCGCACACACCACAGAAAGTCACAAATAACCTCATGAGCATCCATAACGGTCAAACACCGCGACATACTGGGAATTGATGCGTTTTACATATTTATTACTTACACGTGTTTTTAAGTGTAATTTACCTAATTATAAGCATATAATTTAACTTTGATGGCTGTTTAACAATGAGCTCACAGCGTGTCTGAAAATATAACAATGAGCTCTCAGGAGCCAGGGCCTCCCAGAATGGATGGAACTGGCTCAAAGCAGAATCTAGGTCCCCGTGGGCCCCAGCCAACTTACCCAACCACGTGGACGCTTCCAAGTCGAGGTCTCCTATGTGCCAGTCGCTGTGATGGGCACCCCCACGCCTTGTATTTCAGTTAGGGTCAGGACAGCCTTCAAAAGGAGAGTTGAGGCCCCGGCCAGGGAGCTCAGTTGGTTAGAACGTCATCCCGATACACCAAGGTTGCAGGTTCGATCCCTGGTCAGGGCACATGCAAAAATCATCCAATGCATGCATAAATCATCATCCAATGCCTGCATAAATAACCATCCAATGCATGCATAAGTGGAACAACAAATCGCTGTTTCTCCCTCTCTTTGTGTCGGATTTGATCATTCCCAGTTTTTCAAAGGAGCACACTGAGGCCCAGTGAAATGAAAGCCGTGCTTCCCCAGTATTAACGTACAGATGACCCCCCTGGGGACCCTGTGAGAATTTAGACTCTGGAAGAATGACCCTGGCCCTCACACCCTCCCAGCGAGGGACTGAGTGGTGCCCTGGTCCCGGGTGAATGGGCTTCTGGGCCTAAAACGCACGCAGAGTCACAGGTGGAAAGTCTTGACCAGGACGGACCTGAGCCGGGCTCTCGCCCATAATTCAGATGTTGGAGCTCCGTAACTTCCATGACTTTCCACAGCCTTCGCCCGTCAAATCTCACCCTCTCCCCTCTCCTTGTTTGCTCCTCGCAGGTTCGGCCGCAAGCTCTGCCTCTTGCTCACCATCCTCATCAACGCTACGTCGGGAGTTCTCATGGCCGTTGCCCCGACCTACCCCTGGGTGCTACTGTTCCGCCTGGTCCAAGGGCTGGTCAGCAAGGCCGGCTGGGTGATCGGCTACATCCTGAGTAAGAGGCTGTGACTGCAGCGGGGAGAGCGAGGGTCGGTGCTGCCAGAATGCAGGCAGGTGGTGGGGGGCAGGCACAGGGACCCGCCTTCCAGACAGCGTCCAGACGGGTGTCTTTTCTGCGTCAGGAATTCCTAAAATCCTGTCGGTCCGCTCAGCGCGCGTCCCTCCCGTAAAGAACACAATGGAGTCGGCAGCGGCTCCTTACGTAATTCCTTAGGAATCTGTGTTTTCTGTGCCCGGGGGTAGGACATGGAGAGAAAACTAGCCTGCCAGGCCAATCCATGAAGAAAAGGCAGGGCCGAGAGATGCATTAGGTTTATGAGGGACTTTGATACTTTGCCGAAAGCCATTCCAGCAAAGCACTGTTAGCCTCGATGTACATGCGAGGAGGCTGAGAGCGCGAGGGCTTGGTTGGTCTAGGCCAGTGGTCGGCAAACCGCGGCTCGCGAGCCACATGCGGCTCTTTGGCCCCTTGAGTGTGGCTCTTCCACAAAATACCACGTGCGGGCGCGCACGTACAGTGCGATGGAAACTTCATGGCCCATGCGCAGAAGTCGGTTTTTGGCCTGGGCGAGTCTATTTTGAAGAAGTGGCATTAGAAGAAGTGGGGGTGTCGGTCGGACGACGGGCAGGCGGGCCACGTAATATGCAGCGCGGGGGAGGCGCACGCGATTGATTCATGCACCAGTTGAGGATGGGAGAGTTGGAAGGGGTCGACCTCAGTGAACGTACCTCCATCAGATTGAGGACGTTTTTAGCAAAGGCCAGCATAGGAGGACCCTAATGAAGTTAATAACAATGTACCTACCTATATAGTTTAAGTTTAAAAAAGTTGGCTCTCAAAAGAAATTTCAATCGTTGTGCTGTTGATATTTGGCTGCTGACTAATGAGGTTGCCGACCACTGGTCGAGGCTCCCCAGCCCGCGGCAGGCCCGGGAGTGTCACTTACATCCACTCACAGCAGCCAGCTTGGGCTTCCGCTCCATGGGGCGCAGGAGAAGGCTCGGCTTCTAGAAGCACAGCACCTTCAAGGTGGCACCAGAACAAGTGCCCCCCATCAACAGGCCCCATTGCTTTCCCTTCAGCGGCCTTTGAACAGCGTCCAGGTACAGGGAGGGGGACACGTGAGACCGAAATAACAATAGCAAAGCTCTCACGACGCACGAGAGACCTAGACTCCGTGCCTGAACCTCTGCCTGCTCACACGAACTTGGCGGTTCTGGGAGAGGAGGAAGGGTGGCGCGGGTGCTGGTGGCTGCCTGTCGCGGCAGACACCTAACGATGTTTGGGCCACAAAGGAATCCACGCGCCCAGTTATTCCAGCGGTAATTCGGTTGCAGGACACGCAGTGTGTAGAACTGTGTGGAAATCAGCGGTGGGAACTGAAGCCGGTTCAGCCTCCGCTCCGCTCTTGCCCGTCCCTCGGCACGGCCTGCGGGAGGCCTGCCTGTGGAGGAGGCTTCTGTGGCGGACGGGCGTTTCTCCTTAGGGGGCACTCGCCTCCTCTGGTTGAACTCTGCTGTAAGGTGCTTTGGGGTCATTCACAGTCATTGACAGTATTTTTAGGGTGCATTTCTGTTTGGTTTATAACGGGTTGAAGTCTTCGACACAATCCCCAAACGTTTTAAACGGAAACTCTGTGACTTGTGGAGTATCTGAATTTCAATTCTAGTGCGTTTGCGATATGGGAATGACTACTCCCTAAATTCTTGTAGCGCAGATTCCGTTCGTCTGCCGTGATGTAGTCACGGGGGGGGGGGGGGGGGGGGGCGGGGGGGGGGAGGGAAGGTGACTGTTTTAGCGCTCGGGGTATGCTGGTGAACCGGCCCGTGGAAAACGAAAACCATGATTTATAGTGTTTTCCAACCTCTGAGTTATAAATACTCCCACAGAGACAGATTTTAAGGTGCCAGCCAGTGGGTTTAGCAACCAGCTTGCAAAGTTCCAGGGAATTTAAATACCAGTGTGTGGGAGCCGGTACCTGCCAACTCCAGGCAGGAGAACCCACCGCAAGCTTTTCGAGCCATGGACACACATTAACAGGACGGCCAGGAGAATGTTTAACTCGCGTAGAGAGCGCGTTACATGGAGGCATTCATTTACATAAAAGCCACCTGCCACCTAGATTCAGCGCTAGACTCACGTATTCCGGTGTTCAGTTATCACTGCCTTCGTTCCTCTCCATCAAAACTCCGCATGGATCGGAAATACAGCTGCCTCTATCCTTGAAATTATTCTGGGAATCAAACATGTTGCTCACCACCCCATCTAATATGGGATTATAGGATCTTTATGTGAATTAACACCATAGCAATCATTCTAAAACAGGCCTCAAGGAACAATTTAAAGTTTCAGGGAGCTGTATAGGAAGGTCTAGAATTTGGACGACACAGTGAGGTTGGCATTCTGGCTTGGCCGTGGTTGGCCAGCCAGCTGCCTGCTGTCCGGCTCGCTGACCACGTGGCTCTCTCTGCAGTGACGGAGTTCGTGGGGCTGAGCTACCGCAGGACCGTGGGGATTGCTTACCAAGTCGCCTTCACCGTGGGGCTCCTGGTGCTCGCGGGGGCGGCCTACGTGCTGCCCCACTGGCGGTGGCTGCAGTTCGCGGTGACCCTGCCCAACTTCTGCTTCCTGCTCTATTACTGGTACGTCCGTTTGGAGCAAAAAGGAAACCGGTTGCCATATGTTTTCTCTCCCTCCCCTGACACGCACCATCCCTCTGCCCCCCAGGGTCCTTCACTCCTGTCCCACCGCAGGCCCGGCCCGCCGCGTAGCTTCCCGGGCGCTTGCGGGGTGTTCCCTGGGCTGTGCAGCCCCTGCCTGACTCCATTTCCTCTGGAGGTGCCTCGCTGAGCGAGGTCCCTCCCGGAAGCCTGGTGTGGCCGCGGGGGGCAGGGCCCGGGGGTTCCCCTCCGCTCACGCACTGTTGGCACTGACACGGAACCCAGGTGCGTGCCCGAGTCGCCGAGGTGGCTGCTCTCCCAGAACAGACACGCCGAGGCCATGCAGGTGATGAGGCACATCTCCAGGAAGAACGGCAAGGCCACGCCCGCGGCGCTCCAGGTGAGCCAGTGCTGCGGGGGGGGCGATGGAGGACACGGAAAACCGCGCCATCAGAGGGCCCGCCGCAGGCAACAGAGGCTTCCATGGGACCAGGAATCATGGTTCCCTGTCAGACATTTCAAACGGGTGGGAACACGCTCACCTGCAGGGGAGGTGCCATGGCCATAGACAGGTGGGAAGCATAAACCCTTTAATTTTAGGAAACCAAACAGCCATTTGCAAGTCACATGAGGAGCTTCTGCTGAGGCACCTTGGGCCTGTGCTGCCCCCCTCCCCCACCCCTGCACCCAACCCCCCACCCCGACCGCCCTCCCCGCACCCCGCCTTCACGCCCATGTCTGCTTTACCTGTGCGTCCGCCTGCATCCCCACGGAGGGAGGCTCCCCCAGAGGGAAGATTCCCAGATCAGGAAAGAGGATTTTCCAACACGATCAATCATTTCTTAGAATTCAAGACGTTGGGTAGGAAGTGTCGAGCCGTTCTGAGCAGCCTGTCTTCTCGAGGAGCGGGGCTGGGGCCGCTTCCTCCGCCTTGCACTCTGCCTCCAGCGGACTCGCCCCTTTACTCGCACCTCCATCCCACAGCGGCTGGGAAAGGGAAAGCGAGCTTCTTAGGCAATTGTGTCGAAATCAGAGTCAATCATTTCTGACTGAGGAGCTGAGACAGGTAACCCGGCAGCATCTGAGATTTTACAGGACGTTTCCCATGGGGACTTGGGGTGCAGGCCTTCCCCCGCTTCCCCTCTGGCTTCGGGGGGCTGGGAAAACATCCCTCCCAGCAATGCCTGGACAGTCCCGGTCTTAGGTTTTGGGTCCCTGCGGAGATTGGTCAGGACCGAAACACGTGTGGGCCCCTGCCCGCCAGAGGTCACAGCTCACACCCCCGCGATGAGGTCTGGTCAGTGCTGGTCTCGCGGGAGGTTTCTTCCCCTCGCTCCTCGGTCACTCATGCCATCGTGTGGCCCCGATTTCCCGCACCGGGCTCTGCCTAGATCGCATCTGTGCCTGGGTCATCCCGGGACTCCAGCTTCCTCTCCTGGGAAGTGGGTGGAACCCCAGAACCCCACTCCCGGGACAGCTGTAAGATGGGAGGAGCGAGGGGGTGTGACGGGCTGAGCCAGTCCTGGCGGGACAGCCCTCAGCAGGCGGCAGGACGACTGCTGCTCCCTCGCGCCCGGTGAGGCACAGGGACACGGCCGCTCCACATACAAATGGTTCTCGTGTATCTAGTGCCTCAGACCCGATGAGGAAGTCGGCGAGAAGCTGAACCCTTCGTTCCTGGACCTGGTCCGAACCCCGCAGATAAGGAAGCACACCTTGATCCTGATGTACAACTGGTAAGGAATGCTCTTCCCTTTAAGATCCCTGCAGCCCGGCTGGCGTGGTCAGTGGCTGAGTGTCAACCTATGAACCAGGTTACGGTTCGATTCCCGGTCAGGGCACATGCCCGGGTGGCGGGCTCGATCCCCAGTGTGGGGCCTGCAGGAGGTGGCCGATCAATGACTCTCTCTCTCTCTCTCTCTCACATCATTGATGTTTCTATTTCTCTCCCTCTCCCTTCCCTTCTGAAATCAATAAAAATATATTTTTTAAAATAAAACATAAGTAAAATAAAATCCTTCTAAATTCTTTCAATCCAATCATTCACTTTGTGGAAGGGAACGAGATACCTTCCAACACAGCCTAGTGCCGGTGTTGTGTGGACGGTGCACAGCGAGGTGGGCCCACTGACAGCCGTTTCCCTGGCGTCATCCTCCTCAGGCAGATTTGGCGTCAGCTTCCAGTTCCAAAGCCGCGCAGGACGGTCCCAACCTGGGCTTCACCTTGGAATCACCTGGGAGGCTTTTAGATCTCAAGGCCAGACCCCTCCCCGCCAAGGATACCGTTGAATTCATCGGGAGAAGGGCTTGGGAACCACCGTTTTATAACCATGCAGCCCAAGCTGAGAGCTCCTGGTACAGCTCAGCCGGTGACGCTGTCGCTCTCTCCTGACGGCACAGGGCTGGCCGGGAAAGGGCCTTTGCCCTGTCTCTTCTTCCTGGAGAAGTCACTTTTGAACAAGAATGAGCCACAAGAATAAGCCAGTGACTTGGGCCCGACGGCGCCCGCGGCCTGCAGGTTGCCCTGAGGGCTGAGCCACGGCTCTGCACCAGGCCCTCCTCCCAGTGCCCACAGGCTGACTCACACCAGCACCTGAAGAGCCACAGTCACTGGCACGGCAAAGCCCGTGGAGAATTAGTTAGGCACCTTCACCATATTGCATGGAAAAAATGCAGCCGTGAAATCTGGCCTCATTCTTCTTCTTTCTTTAATTGAGTAATTGCAGCTCTTGCAAACTTTCCTCATATTCCCCATTAAGACAGTGGACACTTTCCGTCAACACACCTAGAAACAGTGTCAAAATATTCCTTGCATCACAGCAGGAGAAGTCATTAAGAAGAGAGCTGTGTCCATGGGCCCCTCCGGCTTCCTAAACTGTGAATGAAGCTGTCAGTCCTTTATCTCAGTTGCATTAGGAGGCCACCGAGAAGCAGCACCACTAAGGACCTGCAGAGTTTTACTAAACCAATCCCGCTCCCATGTCTTCTTGCCTTTCCAACGTGGCCAGGGATTGCGCTCCTAGGTTCTCCCCTGTCCTGGTGCTGAGGCCACAGCGGGCTGCCACCTGGTCAGATAGTGAAAAAGCAATGGATTGCCGAAACCGGTTTGGCTCAGTGGATAGAGCGTCAGCCTACGGACTGAAAGGTCCCAGGTTCGATTCCGGTCAAGGGCATGTACCTGAGTTGCAGGCATATCCCCAGTAGGAGATGTGCAGGAGGCAGCTGATCAATGTTTTTCTCTCATCGATGTTTCTAACTCTCTATCTCTCTCCCTTCTTCTCTGTAAAAAAATCAATAAAATATATTTTTTAAAAAAAAAGCAATGGATGGAGGGAACCTATCTATAGAAAACCCTAATATGCAAATTGACCAACCGGTGCAATGATGTGCACTGACCACCAGGGGGCAGACGCTCAATGCAGGAGCTGCCCCCAGGCTGCAGGCTCTGACCAGAGGTGGTGGGGAGTGGGGCCGGCAAGCAGGCGGCACCAGGCCAGCCAAGGCAGGTATGAGCAGGGACCACCCCAATTGCCCTGCTGGTCGCCCCACAGAGGGAGGTTACTGGCAGCGGCAGGGGACAGGGCCAGTGAGCTGGCAGCACCAGTCAAGCCAAGGTGGGTGCAAGTAGGGCCCCGATCACCCTGCCAATCACCCCAGAGATCAGCCCTAATTGTCGGCCAGGCATAGGGACCCTACTGTGCACGAATTTCGTGCACCGGGCCTCTAGTAGTATTAATAAGATGACAAAAGGGTGACTTAGGGCCAACCCTGATTTTCCCAGAAGCCCCCTCCCATGACTGCTCCTCCAGCCTTGACCTGAGCTCTCCTCTTGGCCCAGGTTCACCGGCTCTGTCCTCTATCAGGGCCTCATCATGCACATGGGCCTCGCGGGGAGCAACGTCTACCTGGACTTCTTCTACTCCGCCCTGGTGGAGTTCCCAGCCGCCCTCCTCATCGTCATCACCATTGACCGCATTGGCCGCCGCTACCCCTGGGCTGGATCCAACATGGTGGCGGGGGCGGCCTGTCTGGCCTCGGTTTTTATCCCTGAAGGTAAGTGCCAGGCCAAGCGAGGATCTCGCTTGCCAAGGTCCTAGCAAGAGGGGTATCACAGCCCTCTGAGAGGGAGACCACGTAATCTATCACCCAGATCGAGGTGGAATGAACCCAATATCCAGGAACTTCATGACAAACACATATGCCTTTAAGTACACTCACAACGCCCAGCTGGAGTGGCTCAGTGGCTGAGCCTCGACCTATGAACCAGGAGGTCAGGGTTCAATTCCCAGTCAGGGCACATGCCCGGGTTGCAGGCTCGATCCCCAGTGTGGGGTGTGCAGGAGGCAGCTGACCAATGATTCACTCTCATCATTGGTGTTTCTAATTATCTCCCTCTCCCTTCCTCTCTGAAATCAATAAAAATATTTAAAAAAAAAAAAAAAAGGACACTCGCACCCAAAGGTTGCCTGCCATGGTATAATGACACCCAGTTGTCCTCTAATAAAACAGGAGGGCCATGCTACAAGCCATCTGGCCGCCTGGAGCACAGGGATGGGCTTTGGGTGAGGAGGCCCAGGGTTCTGTCTTACCCAGCACGTCCCAGACACTGTTCAGGCAACTCCCGTGACTTCCCCACATCATCCTGCAAAACTAATGAGCAACCCTGAGTGACTGCTGCCAGTGACCAGGCCTCCAGCTCCTTCCTTTCCTCTCAAAACACCTTCTCAATGAGGGGGAGCAAAACCTGTCCAACAGAGTCCTCTCGCACACGGAGCTTTGCCTGAACCCTTTGGTCATTAGCAACTGTTCCGAATATGCCCACACGCAGCTGTTTCTCTCGTGTGACTCTATAGACGAAAGTTGGCCGCCTTGGCCACGGGTAGCATTCTGTTGTCACTGGAGACGGAGCTCTCGGGTGAAAAGCGTGTTTGAGCTGTGTCTGAAGTTAAACAGACATGAGCGCCTGCCGACATTGCCTTGACTCTGGAGAAGAACCGAGTTTGCTCTCTTGTCCCTCACGGGCATGTGGGCTGTCCCCCGCCACCCTCCCTCCACACCCCACACGTCTAAGCCAGGGGTGTGCACATGTGTGTTTCCCCTCAGACCTGCAGTGGCTGAGAGTCACAGTCGCCTGCTTGGGCCGCATGGGGATCACAATGGCCTACGAAATGGTTTGTCTGGTCAACGCGGAGCTGTACCCCACGTTCATCAGGTGAGCCCCGGCGCCCCTGCATGCTGGGTGCTTCTTGGCTAGAAGCGCGGGTGCCAGCAGCAGACGCCTCACTGACGGAAACACAGGTCAGAGAGGGCGGGCGCCTTCCCGGGCAGGAGCCAGGTCACAGCCCATGCCAGCAGCTGCGGGCGGGGGGGAGGGGGGGCGCGGAACAGAGCCTGCGCTGAGACGAGAGGCACTGCATCGAGAGAGGGTTACCTAAGGGCCCTGGGACTGGGACTGAAGCCACGGCAACAGGCCGGAGAAACAGGGACACCAGGGTGAAAGCAGAAAATGAAAATCACCCCCAATTTAAAGCTTTCAAGAACATTAATAGACAACAAGTATAACAGAATACAAAGGAAATGTGTGCCGTGTGTCACGTGTGTGAGCTGAGGATACCGTGAAGGCTGTTCCCAGGTCACAGGCACCTCCGTGGTTTGGGGGACTGTGTCCGTGCGGGTGGGCTGGGGACACGGCTGCTCTGGGAGAAGGTGAAAGGTCAACCCCACTCTCTGCTGCAGGAACCTCGGGGTCCTCGTCTGCTCCTCCATGTGCGACATTGGCGGCATCCTCACGCCCTTCCTGGTGTACCGGCTCACCGGCATCTGGCAGGAGCTCCCCCTGGTGATTTTCGGTGAGAAACCCTCTGAGGTGTCTTTGAATGAAAACCTATTTATCTAGGGGCCTCCGTTCTTCGACCTCAAAACAGGTGCCTGTGAGTAACAACTAGCACGACTAGTAATGAGTGGCACTATTTGCATTAGTTAAACTCGTCTTAGTAAAACCAGGATGAGTGCTCCTGTCACAGCTGCCATGGCTCCAGTGTGGGAGCCATCAGGCCTCCTGCCCGCAGAGGCACAAAGTCAGTGTCAGACCTCGAAACGGGAGGACGCTCCCCGCAGGAGCCCCGCTCTCTCCTCCTGCTCCGCCCTCCGCGATCTTCCCGGCACAGGGCTCCCTCTTTCTGCCTTCGCTGCAGGCGGATGTGGAAAACACAAACCCTCCACGGCACCACTTTGAGGAAAGGCTGTTACAATGTTACCAGCCTAAAGCATCTTAATAATAAAAGGTTAATATGCAAATGGTCGTCACACCGTGACGCCATAATGACCGATGGGCAGGGACCTGAAGCTGCGTGGCACCGGGCCCGGGCGGGGACCTGAGGCCCCACCCCCCGAGGCTGCACCCCCCCACCCTGGCGGAGCTCGACGGGGGTGGGGCCAGCCAGGTCTTGGTGTCACCCAATGGGGGTGGGCCAGCCAGATACCTCTATTAGAGAGAAAGGGCCAATAGCAATATTAAAATATTTCCTCTAATTAATTCCCTTTTAATGTGCATGAATTTCATGCACCGGGCCACTAGTACAAATATAACCTTAGATCCCAAAACTTTAATGGGAATTTTAAAGACACAAAAACACTACAAGTTTGCTACCCACCCCCACCACCACTCCCAACATATACAAAAAATTAGGGCTGGAGACAAAGCAAAAAGAAAAATGTATGAAACACCTGAATTCGTCGAAATCCAAGTCCCAGCTATGCTTTTGAAAGCTGTTACATACACCGTAACCCTTTTAAAAGCAAACCATCACTTTATTTGCCAGGTTTCTGACTCAGTTTTCCTCGCTAAGTGCTTTGTGTTGGCAGGGTTCTGTTCTTGCTTTTCTTAGAGTTGTTTTTTTTTCTTTTACAGCTATTTTCTAACTCCAAAGTATCTTAATATTATGGCAAGGTTCTCGCCTAGAATAAACTCGACTCAAATGTGAGTTGCAGTGTTTCACTTCCCTACAAGGAATTGTACTCCAGCGGAGTTTGGGATCCGCACAATATTTATGGTGGAGAGTAGGGCTGTCAGAGGGCAGAGAAATGCATAAGGAGAGGAAACGACACAGACAAGTCTTAAGGGATAAGGGAGCTCTAATTATAGCGCCAGAATGTCCCCTTCTTTTTTTAATATGTTTTTATTGGTTTCAGAGAGGAAGGGGGAGGGAGAGATAGAAACATCAATGATGCGAGAGAATTGCCTCCTGCACACCCCCCACTGGGGATGGAGCCCGCAACCCGGGCCTGTGCCCTGACCGGGAATCGAACTGTGACCGCCTGGTTCAGAGGTCAACGCTCAGCCACGGAGCCACGCCGGCCGAGCTGAGTGTCCCCTCTCACGCTGGTTCCCATGTGCCTGCCTTTCAGCGGCGGTTGGCTTGGTCGCCGGAGGGCTGGTGCTGCTGCTGCCAGAGACCAGAGGGCAGACTCTGCCGGAGACGATTGAGGAGGTTGAGAACCTGCGGAGGTACGAGCTGACATTCCCACACGTACTGCTGCCTACGGGCTCTCGGCCAGCTCTGGGGCAAGAGGAAGGGAAGATGAGGGAGGATGTAGACCTTACACCGCACAGAGAGAGCCATTCGCACAGAGTCAGACCTGAGAGTACGGAAAAGGAACCAGAAAGTAAGAAAGATATTGCGGGAGAACACCTTCTGCTTTCCCAGTGCGGGGGGGCCTTGTAACTATGGCCCGAACATCGGGACCCACTTAAAAAAGATCCATGAGCTTGCCCTCATGAGAATTAAAATTCTGCTTGGAAAAATGACTCTAAGCTTAAATAATATCACAGCCTTCGAGAAAACATGCACTCCTCCACGAAGGGTTAACGTCCCCAACGTGGAAAGAGCTCTAACCATTCATAAAAGCACCACCCAACAGGAAAACATGAGCAAAGGATTTGAACAGATAATTCTGCGAACACAAAAACGGGTCTGAAATACACGGCGATAAGCTCGACCTCCTTCCGAATAAGAGAAGGGCAGACACTCACTGCTCGGACAGCCGCTGGGATGGTTGGTGATCGCACCGCTGGGGGACATCGGTGTCAGGAGAGAATGGGGAGACAGGGGCCTACATTCCAGATTGGAAACCTCTCTGATGGGCGATATGACAATAGGATAAAGATTGCAAAGGGGCATATCCTTGTACCTGGCAACTCCACACTTCCAGAATTTACATATGCAAAACATATGTGCAAGACGATTCTTTAAGGTAATTTTTCTTAATATAACAAAAGACTGGAAACAACCCAAATGCCTGTTGAGTGGGAGACCAGTTATATAAAGTATGGTACGTGATTCAATAGAATATCATATGGCCGTTAAAAAGAAAGCAGCAGCCCTAGCCAGGTGCTCAGTAGTTAGAGCACCGGCCTACAGACTGAAGGGCCGCGGGTTCAATTCCAGTCAAAGGCGGGAGGCAACTGGTTGATGTGTCTCTCTCCCATAGATGCTACTCTCTGTCTCTCCCCCTGCCTTCCATTCTCTCTCTTAAAAAATCAACGGGAAAAATATCCTCAGGTGAGGATTAACAACAAAAACAAAAAAGAATGAACCCGCTTTATATGCACTGCTAAGGAAAGTTCTCTAAGACACATTATTAATGAAAAAAGCACAAAACAGTGTAAGTCTAACGTTGGTGGGGGAGAGTGAGAACATGCATATGCATGAGGTATATATGCACATTTGCTTGTGTCTCTGGAAGGCTTTGCGAGCACCGTGACACGGGCTGCCGTGGACTGGGGGCTGTGGGTCCCAGGTCAGAGGAGACTTTCGATGCATGCTTTTTTTTCTTTTTTTCAGAGAGGAAGGGAGAGAGAGAGAAACATCAACCATGAGAGAGAATCATGGATCGGCTGCCTCCTGCACGCCCCACCCTGGGGATCGAGCCCCCAATCTGGGCATGTGCCCTGACCAGGAATCGAGCTGTGACCTCCAGGTTCATAGATCGACGCTCACGCTTTGAGCCCCGCCGGCTGGGCTCAATGCATACTTTTTGGTACTTTCTGGATGTTGAACCACACAAACCTATTTAAAAAGTAAACTTTTTAAAAAATTTAAGAGAAATGTAGATGGCATACGCTCCACAAGTTTGCTTTGTGCCGTGTGCTTCGCCAGTTTTATTATCTTATCCAGACTCCATGTGGGGCCCCCTGGGGCCCAGTCTGCCCATCCTACGAAGCGTGCGCTTGAGCACCTTCAGGACGGAGCCACCCTGAGGCCTCGCAGCGCCTGGGCTCCTGGAGCTTGGAGCTCAGAGTTGGACAAGGCCTTTGAATTCAGCCAGAGGTCGCACTGGCAGCCGCAGGACGCCAGCGTCTCGGCGCTTAGCTTGGCCCGCGCGCTAGCTTTTAAGGGGGAAATTGTACATCCACTGAATTTCCAGCATCTGGTAACATAAATAAGCAAGCAGAGGATTGGGTAACGCTGAGAAGGCATTTCCTCTCGTTGACAACTTGCAGGAGCTGAGTGACGGCTCCGCTTTTTGGAGGACATGTCCTCCCCCCCACTCCCGCCCCCCTCCCCCCGTACCCCATACTCCCGCATGCCCTGTTCTCTAGTGCCTGGTGCATTTGTGCTTTCTGCCTGGTGCATGGAGACATTGCAGCTTGAGGTCCTGGATCCAGATGTCCGTCCTCCGTCCCCCAATCTCAGTGCAGTGTCCCCTGCACACGAGCACCCGCCCCCCACCCTGAGGACAGACTGTATCCCGCGCAATGTCCTATCCAAAAGCCAGCACCGAGCAGGTGCGCACCAGGCCGCCTGCAGTGCATGCTGAGCGCCTTCCACGGTGCTCCTCCCTCAGGTCCCAGGCCTGCCCCAGCCGCCCGTCAGGACAGGCCCTCGCGCTTCCTTCCACGTGGCCTTGACGCCAAGCCTCGGGTTCCCCATCTGGAAGTGGGGACATCAGTTCCTGTCCTGGGTTTCTGTAATGACCAGACGAGAAAGCCATGCAACGTGCCTGGCACTTCGTACGTGTCCAGTAACCGCTGTTAGTATTCACAAACGTCCTCACTGCTGTCCCATAGAACAGAAAACGGGGGCCGAGGTGTTTTATGGGAAACCGACTTTTAAAGTATGTTCTGCATAGTGTGAGACAGGAAAGTGCAGCTCAGGATGTACACATATACCCACACCAAATCAAGGCTGCTACCAACAGGAACATGTCGAGAGACCATGTCTGAGAACAGCAAAATGAAGAAAACAGCTTTCGCACGAGAATCAGCAACACCCTGGTATTTTTCACTTATCCAACTGTTGAAAAGTAAATGAACTTCGGTAAAAAATAATTCTCACATCCTATTTGTTCAGACACGTGCAATTCGAACAAATTTTTTAACAGATTTTTCACTTATCCAACTGTTGAAAAGTAAATGAACTTCGGTAAAAAATAATTCTCACATCCTATTTGGAGAACTGATGACAACAGTGTCTAGCTTTTGCAATCTTCATTTTTAACTAAAAAGGATTCGATTTAGACATTTCCCACGTTCCTGGTTACGGAGGAGGGTAGAGCACCTTCAATAATGGGTCAGGCCCGTCTCAGGCTTACACGGAGTTCAGGAAGCCCTCCAGCCACACCAGCTGTTCACCGAGCTCCTCACGTTTCCTTAGTGAGGACCGCCACCTGGAACTCACTGCGGGACTCATGCTGGGCGAGCCTGCCCGGTTCCTGTTGTGTTTACTTAGCATCCCCTTCCCTTTGGTACCCAGTCTCCTCATGATTTTCCTCTCCCCTCTCCAACTCTGTTTTTCAGACCAAGAAGAAACAAAGAAAAGAAGATTTACCTCCCAGTCAAGAAACAAGACATCCCACTAAACTGAGAGAGACCCGCGATGGACTTGCTTTGACAACACCAGGCTGGAATCAGAGAGTCCTGCTCTCATCCCAAAGCCCAGACACCTCAGCCTTCCTTCTCTTTGAACCCCATTAACCCAGACCTACGGCCCAGGGGAGCTGTTGCACTATGGTATCACAGTCCGCCTGTGGGACCAGATCCTGCAACCCCCCAGCTCACTCCTCCCCAGTCGACCTTCATTCACAGCCTCATGCCATGGAATGACTATTAAAAGCTGGGTCACCTGGTAAACTGTGGCTACGCTCCTTCCTTCCTCCTTCTGCCCTCCCGGGGCCTCCGTTACCCCTGCTGGCTCTCAAAGTGCTCATCGTCCACCCCCCACCTCTGGCAGACATACACCTCCCCTCCCCCGATGCACCCGAACACGTCATATCCCCGGTGGGTTCCTGTGCCCTCCTCCCGGAGACCCTCCTCCCGGAGACCCTCCTCCCGGAGACACTCCTCCCCAGACCGCCTCCCGGAGACCCTCCTCCCCAGACCCTCCTCCCGGAGACCCTCCTCCCCAGACCCTCCTCCCGAGACCCTCCTCCCCAGACCCTCCTCCCGGAGACCTTCCTCCCCAGACCCTCCTCCCGGAGGCCCTCCTCCCGGAGACCTTCCTCCCGGTGACCATCCTCCCGGAGACCTTCCTCCCGGAGACCTTCCTCCCAGAGACCCTCCTCCCGGAGACCCTCCTCCCCAGAACCCTCCTCCCGGAGGCCCTCCTCCCAGAGGCCCTCCTCCAGAGACCCTCCTCCCAGAGACCCTCCTCCCCAGACCCTCCTCCAAGAGACCCTCCTCCCCAGACCCTCCTCCCAGAGACCCTCCTCCCGGAGACCCTCCTCCCAGAACCTCCTCCCCAGACCTCCTCCCCAGACCCTCCTCCCGGAGACCCCTCCTCCCCAGACCCTCCTCCCGGAGACCCTTCTCCCGGAGACCCTCCTCCCGGCGACCATCCTCCCGGAGACCCTCCTCCCGGAGACCCTCCTCCCCAGACCCTCCTCTCCCAAGGACCCTCCTCCCGGAGACCCTCCTCCCGGAGGACCCTCCTCCCGGAGGCCCTCCTCCCAGAGACCCTCCTCCCAGAGACCCTCCTCCCCCCAGACCCTCCTCCCAGAGACCCTCCTCCCAGAAGACCCTCCTCCCGGAGACCCTCCTCCCCAGACCCTCCTCCCGGAGACCCTCCTCCCGGAGACCCTCCTCCCAGAGACCCTCCTCCCAGAGACCCTCCTCCCCAGACCCTCCTCCCGGAGACCCTCCTCCCAGAGACCCTCCTACCAGAGACCTACCCCGGAGACCCTCCTCCCCAGACCCTCCTCCCCAGACCCTCCACCCAGAAACCTGCCCCGGAGCCTGCGGCCTCCTGCTCCGCAGCCAGCGGTCTCCAGGCTGCTGCCCACCTGCTGCCCGTGCTCTCCTTTCCCCTCACTGACCACCTCTAGCCTCTTTCTTGGGGCGAATCCCGTTTCCTAGGTCCCACGCCATCCTCGTCCTTGGGTTACCCCCCATTTGGAAGCAGCGCCTCTTCCATGTCCTCCTGAGGAAGAGCACACCCCGTCCCTGTGGGCCTCCCCCGACATCGGGGGTCAAACCTGCAACTCCCGTCCCTGGCCCTGCAATTTCATCCAGACGCTGGGACAAACGCGCTGTGCCGCGAGGAGAGGATGCTGAGCCTCCCCCGGGGGTAGGAAGGGGGAGCAGGAAGCCCGTGTCCCCTCTGTCCGGAAGAGGTCCCGTGGCCGACCGACCGGCGGGATGGGCTCCGTCCCCGCTCAGTTCTAACCGCGGCGGGGACGGCAGAGGCGCCCGGCAGCCCCTGGCCTCCGGCCTGTCAGCATCCTCTCCTCGCGGCACAGCGCGTTTGTCCCAGCGTCTGGATGAAATTGCTTCTGTTTGAACACCTGCGGTGGTCTCTATTTTGCTGAGTAAACACACATTTATATTCTACTTGAAACCATGAGTAGACCACACCCAGGAAATCAATGCCCAAACTTAGGAATCTAGGGCAGTGATGGTGAACCTTTCGAGCTCGGCGTGTCCACATTTTGAAAAACCCTAACTTAACTCTGGTGCCGTGTCACATATAGAAATTTTTTTATATTTGCAACCATAGTAAAACAAAGATTTATATTTTTGATATTTATTTTATATATTTAAATGCCATTTAACAAAGAAAAATCAACCAAAAAAATGAGTTCGCGTGTCACCTCTAAAACGCATGTCATAGGTTCGCCATCACTGATCTCGGGTCTATAAACAGCACGATTGGGGTCAACACATCGATGCCACTGAGATCTCCAAATTACTTTGTTGAATTTTTTTTAATGTTTTTATTGATTTCAAAGAGGAAGGGAATGGACGTGAGAGGGAGAAACATCAGTGATGAGAGAGAATCATTGATCTGCTGCCTCCTACACGCCCCACACTGGGGATCGAGCCTGTAACCTGGGCCAGTGCCCTGACCGGGAATCGAACCGTGACCTCCTGGTTCATGGGTCGATGCTCAATCACTGAGCCCCGCCGGCCGGGCATGAATTTTATTTTTTAATACCTGACTCTACGTCTCCCCTGGCAGGTGTAGAACATAACAAATCTCTAACTATCAATGCCTCCCCTCAGGCACGGAGGGCACCAGGACACCGCCTCAGCAGGGCTCATCCTGACATAGTGAGGCTGTGCCTTCGGGTCTGTCCTGGGGCCGCTCTCCTCCCCCACCCACCCCCAGGCCTCCTGGCGAACCCAGGGCCCGCTCATGCCCAGCCAGCTCCCTCTGGCCCCTCGTCCAAAGCTGAGTGCTTTAGGGCCCGGAGTCTGAGCACTCGGCCAGGGCGTCGGGATGGGCAGGGGACGTGATCCTGGAAGCCAGTCCGGCTGCGTATGGGAACAGGTCTCCATCCCGGCGCCCTGGGCCTCATCACTGAGGGGGTGGGTGCCCAGAGGCCCCTGAAAGCAAAACCTCTGAACACCAGGCCGGGCTGAGCCTCAGGTCCACGGCTCTTCCAGAACCTTCCCAGCACAGACGCCACCACATAGGCATCTGGGGGCTCCCACTGCCGGGGACTAAGGCTTATCCTCTGCAGGTGTCAGGGGAAGAATTCTGAAAAGCCCATGTTCGTATCTCGCTTGCACGTTTGCAGAATCATCTCTCATTCCCGGGAAAACGTGGCACGTCACACGGTATTTCCCGCAACACAGATGTTCGGGCCTATTTTCGTGTCGGGCAGGGGGGCAGGAGCCAAGCCCAGCGGGGCCTCGGGGTGAGAGCAGCAGACTGGCTGCTGGGCCGGGAACCGCACCATGGGTCCCAGTGCCTCTCACATCAGAGTGCCACCTGCAGTGCCGACCGTGGGCGACCTTCTCTACGCGGTCCTTCCTGCTCGGGGATGACAATGCCAGTGTCACACGAGGCCTCGGATGGACGGGGCTTTGTGGTCACGGGGGAGAGGACGTACCAGGTATGGACGGTGCAGAGTGGGAAGCGCGCCCAGGCTCCCAAGGCCAGAGCCGGGCCCAGCCACTGAGCGGGGACAGTGTCCGGGAGCTGACACTTGGCTACAATTGCAAGAATCGGCAGGATTTGCGGCGGATAAAGGAGAGTGTGCTGCGTGCAGGCCAGGCCCTTGGGGTTGAGGTGTGGGCGCAGGAGCTGCAGAGGGGGGACAGCGGGCAGCCAAGGGCTGGAGGCTCTGAGCGGGGGAGATGAGAGAGAGATTGGGGGGGGAGGGGCGGCTAATTAGACATGGGGCCAGCGGTTGCACAAGGAATGTGAGAAGTAGAGCCATGCAAATTACCCCACAGTAATCTAACAGAAATCAGACACACCTGAAACTAACCCACACGCTCAGCAGCCCGGAGACTTCGTACAGAGGCACACATCCCGGCGGGTCTATCGGTTCTGAGGCACCCTGCAGCACACGCAATAATTTCTGTGCACAAATAACCAGGAATCACAAAAACAGGTTCAGGTACAAGCACTCTTTCAGAAGCAAGGAAAGAACTAAGACATTGTAGAACAGTTCACCCAAAATGACTAAAAGAGAGACAGGGTTAAGATTGAGACGTTAAGTCCTAATTTTCTTCTCCATAATTTTGGCATTTGCCCCATTTTCTATGATGCATCTATTTAAATATACATATTTGTTATGCATATTTGATACACAAAAAAGCACATATAAGATATGAGGGTCACCAATAAAGGCTTCTCTCCTTAACCCACCCCTGGTCCATCCCCATCACACCAAACGTAACAACTATTCCAGGTTTTGTCTCATTTCCTTTTAATGTTTATCACGTGGGCGCACACGCACACACACGCATGCACGCACACACACACACGTATGCAGCTCTACCTTTTCATCACTGTTGTCTATCTCATGATTTTCTGCTCTTACCTTGATTCCCCTTTTTCTTACTTGGGGCTTATTCTGTGGTTCTTTTTCTAGTTCTCTGTCTCGAGTACCCAAAGTGGAAGGTTTTGGGTGTATCATTTACTTATGCTCAGAAACACGTATCGCACTTACAGGGACAGATCTGGTGTTTAATTTAGTATTTCTATTACTTGCAAAATCTATCTTTGCATTGTAACTCACCACTTGGGGTTTTGACTCTCTGAAGACTGTTTTCAGGCTACACACTTTGTAGCTCACATGTCATTATATTTACACATAATTCTGAGTCTTTCCTGACCATATATTTGATCCAGTCATTGCAGCAAGTGACTAAACGTACTTTCCTAACCAAGACAAAATACGGCGTCATTGCCCATCAAGGCAGTGAGCAGCCAAGGAAAGACCTTACAAGTTCCTTTTCTATGAAAGCAAGTGAACTATAGTAACTTAGTCAGTGTTTATCCGAAAACGAACACATGGGTGTACTTGGGGTTCCTTCGGTCATGGAAAAATCAGGCTCTCCTGACATGTTAGGAAACAACGCTAATTCCCAATTAATCCTTAAAAACTGGAAAGTAATCAGATTAAATGAATTATTTGTTTTTATTCACTCAAACCAGATGATGATGATAATAAAAATCTGGTACTAATTACGTGAAAATGGGACTTGGAATAACATATCTTCTTTTCTGGCACTTTTAAGAAACCAAGGGTCTAGTATTTAGGAGGGGAAGGCACTCTCGCCCGGGTATGTTGCAACCTAACCAGGTCAGGGAGATTAAGCAGGACAAGAAGCTTCCTCCCTGACATCAGCAAGGATAACAAGGGACCCTGGCCAACCGTGCGCAAGGGCCAG